TTGGTCTGTGCTCAAGAAGCAGACCTTTAAAAACATTGTTTGAAAATTTGGGTAAGGGTATGCTCTTGGGTTAGTACATGGGATAAGCTCCCCAACACTTCAAAGCCCTCTGTCACCTCTGGTTCAACCTAGATACATCATTCTTCGGAGCTCACAAATTCATGTAAATGAGTGGCCATGCAGGGGAGAGTCTTGTATAGTTACTCCTTGAAAAGGGTTTCACTTTTTTTAGTTGCAGGTGAGGTCAAGATTTCATGCTAAGGTTGCTTGCATCATCCTTTAAACATATGTGACAGAATGATTTCAAGAAGTTATTTCAAACCTAAACCTTAATTACAAGCCACTTAACTGCATTTGTTCTTAACTTTTGAACCCGATGTGACATGATGTACTTACTGTTTCTTTGAAAGAGGTTAAATATTTAGGAGTGAAACATGTGTTTTTCAGCTAACTTTAATTAATTTGTTGATTTACAGTCAAATCAGACTCCACGTCGAGGAAATACAACCAATCAAATGGGGCCACCATCACCCCACCCACGAGACGCCCATAGCCCATCTAGATCACGTGACTCGCCTTCTGGTAGTGGCAAGTCAGTGCCTGGCTACATGCAGCCCACGAAAAGCTCAGGTGCTACTAAGGGGCCTGGGACCCCACGGACCAGAAAGACATCGGAGAAGAAAAGATGATGTAGAGAAGACGACGATTTATTAGATACTCTATTTTTGAAGATTCCACAGAGAAAATAATTTTTTTGTTCTATTTTCAATCAAATTCTGCATTGATTGCTCCTATCGAGACAAATAGTCTATGCAGTCAGAGGCCGGCAAGTTAATTTGTTAAGAATCGATTTTTCCTCAGTCATGACCAACTGTTTCTTGAAATGTGTTTTTTTTTCCGAGAAATTTGGCCTTTGAAGTGGGAGCTTGGTGTATCAGAGGATAGCTCTGTGTGGCACTTCCCGCTACGCAAGATTGTGCGTGACAAAATTAGACATTGACAAGTCTTGGGGGTGAGAGTTAAATTTTTGTTCCGCAAGAACCTGTCAAGGAACAAGGCTGGGGCGGGACATTCCACAGTGTAGGGCTTTGATGCATTTTACACGAGTCAGAGTTGATCAAGTACTGTCTGTCGGTCTTTTTTCCTATATTTATAGTCACAGAATTGACTGCTGGAAGGAAATGTAGGTGATCTTTAAAATACTTATAATTCCACAAATAATAAGATATTTTAGGAAGGAATTATTCAAGCAAGTCTGTTTGCAAGTTGTTACAACACTTAACAGCATAGTTGCACCTTGCTATCTCAGACTTTCAACTTTTGTTTGTACGAATTATGTCTCCCAAGAATTGACTACAACTCATGTAGACTCTTACAACGTTATCATGCTTCAGGATAATGAGACGAAACTGTTCAAACAGATCACGTCTAGTGCTGTCATGAGTGGTACCAAAATTTTAGAGAAGTTGAACTTTGAAACGAAAACGGGAACGCTTTGAACCCAGGACCACCCTTTCACTTGCTTGAGACACTTCATTTATGGAGTTTGTCGCTATTTTAAAACGAATCAATGTTAAGCTACAATAAACCCAACTTTGGTATGGCCAACTCATGATAAGCTCGAAGCTCAGTACTTAATGTGGAGGTTGATCTATTTTCACTGTAGTTACAGTACGTTTATATTTATAAATAATTGGTTTTATTGTATTAGGAGCTCGAAAGAAGAAACCCAGGTCTTCAACTAATGTACAGAATATTGTTTCAAAGAAGATTCTGTAATTTATAGAAATTCCCATTCGGCTCATTTTACGCAGCCTAGTTTTACGTCAATTACTTGAAATATTGTAGTGTGAACAATAGCATAATAAACCGGCTTCCAGGTCCACAAATTTTATGTGTCGTGGTATTGTAAGTTATCTTTGTAAAATTCATAAGTTAAGTGTAATTAAAATATAGTCCAAGTCCGTCAATTTTAACTCGTCCGTAAGTTTCTCATCCTTGGATTTGCCTCTCCAGTCGCTCACGAGAACAATTTGGTTTCCGTCTGGTTTCGGGCACTTCCTACCAATTTCTGACGCTTTCGTCCGTTTTCGGATGGTACCGTTCAATTTCGAACGTTTCCATATGGGGAGCCATTTGTGCTAAAACAGGAATCGCTAGTGATAAAACTCAATCGTAAGTGCTAAAAACGGTTGTCTGTTCAACGGTAGAATCAGTAATAAGTCGATGCCAGCACTAACGATTGACGTTTTGCGGTCGCGATTTCAATTTCAGTATCACAAACGATCGGTGGCAACACTGGCGATTGACATTGACTCAAGCGATGAGATTTAACATTATCGATTGATACTAAAAACCGGATGATATTTAGGGCTATCGATCTGCCTTTGTACTCTTTCCGATTTCGAAAATTTTCGTCCGATCTTAGAAGGGATGAGCGAGTTGAACCGCGTTGTAGCTAACCCAAACCTGTACCTCTTACTTCCTGAGTTCGAGGTCCGCGACCCGTAAACTTCAATACGGACCGAGTAAACGTATCTATGAGTTCAAACAGAGGACAGTGAGGAGAGAGATTTAAATCCAAACAAACCTTTGAATTTAGCAGGTCATGCAGTGAAATACAGCCCACTAAATTGACCAATCATAGTGCAGATACTAACTAAGAGATATAGCCATGATATTTATCTGTTTTCCTCTACGAAATTTACTGAATCTCGCAAGAAATAAAATTTAGGAAAGAAGCTTCGCAGTGAATCATCCACCCCCACTTGGCATCATTTACCGTCAAAAGACATCGTTTAATGTTACAAGGCTTCGTTTAATGTCACAAGGCTTCGTTTAATGTCACAAGGCTTCGTTTAATGTCACAAGGCTTCAGTCACCAAGATTAGACATTCGTAGTCGTCCCACATCATTCGCCGTCATTTAACAAAACTGGCCATTATTAGACATCATTCAGTGTCATTAGACATCGTTCAACTTCACTCACTATAATTTAACGTCACTAGGCGTCATCCATTTAAACAGTTTATCTAACATCATTTGGGCATCATTTGCCGTTCGGAACTGAACAGAACCGTCCGAAAGCGAACGAAAGCATCAGAAATCGGTAGGAAGTGCCCGAAACCAGACGGAAGCCAAATTGTTCTCGTGAGCGACTGGAAAGGCAAACCCAAGGATGAGAAACTTACGGACGAGTCAAAGTTGACGATTGACGAACATTTCACATTTCCTTTTCGCTCATAAAACATACCATTCAGAATACATAATACATTCATTTTGGCAAAGAAAAAAAAACAATCCCTTACCAGGAGGCATAAATATATATTATAACACTTTGAAGCTTAAGGCTTTACCAAGACTAAAACAGGAAAAATTTTTTTTTTTTGTTTTTTGTGCGCAATATTTGTCAAAATTCTCTAGTGCTCTTTATCTATTTTTTTCTTTCAATAATTGGACAGACATAAACTACGTCACAGCGCCCGCGCGGATCTTCGAGCAAAATTTCACCAAATCGCATGGTAGCATTCTCAGTTCCGTATAAAGCAGGCTGTGGTCTTACAAAACTTAAGTCATCAACAATCATCGTATAATTCATTGCATATGGCAGCCGACTAACATTTACATTTTGTGCAAGAATCAGTTAGTTTTTAATTTTGGATGTCATGTATGCTCGTGTGAAATGTCTTGCAACTTTCTGTGACGCTTACACAAATTATTTAGCTCTAGATAGCTATCCGCTGAGTATCCCCATACTCCACCAGCTTTTATATTTTTACGATTTCCAAAAGAGGAAAGGGGATCATGATTCTGTTGAACATTTGTTGCATCGTGGCCTTTTTGATCGTCATTTGTGAGGTATCTTCTTCGTTTAAAATTCAGTGTAGCTTCTCATACGCGCCTTTATATATCGTAAAGTTATTTCACTCCACAATGTAAATTTTTATCGTAAGGAAATTGTTACGAAACAAGTCTGGTCAGGGGTGAAGGAAATTATTCAAACACAAGAAATATGAAGTTTAGATAGTTTAGTTCCTAAAAGTGACTTCTAGAATTTTACTAATTCATCGTATTAATTGTGAGTTGTTTTCGTCTTGTTGTAGGCACAACATGACGATGTAAGATGCAAGTGTGTATGTCCCAAAGAAATCAACAGAACAAAGAATGTATTTTAATTGCGAGGTATTTTCGTCCTGTTGTAGGCACAGTATGACGATGTAAGATGCAAGTGTGTATGTCCCAAAGAAATCAACAGAACGAAGAATGTATTTGTCAAAACTGTGGAGCCAGAGGATTGGTAAGTTTTTGTTGAAATTGAAACACTATGCAGCGGAGACAGTTTAATAAGACACGTTCTGCTCGTACTCCGAATGAACGGTAACCGAAAGTAAACTTGGAAAAATATGTTTCATTTGATGTGTGGGCAGCAGAGCACAGCTAGAATTCTGATACGACACCTGGCAAAAGCAGTGTTGTAGCAGCTTTGAAAGGATGAGCTGTAAATTAAGCTTAGATTTGTGGCGTACTACTTTTCCAGTGAGAGCTGAAATTGATTCACAAGACTAACATTGAAAAGAAAAAGAATCAAAAGAAAGAAATACAAAAACCTTACACAATGTATACGATGGTTTAGCACATAAAATGCACTGATAGTTTGGGAGTTGGGTAAAGGTAAGGAAAAATATGAGCAATGAGCTGAATGTCTTCTTCTTTTATGTGGTAAACCATGGAATTTTAAAGGGATTTATTCCCGTTAAAATCCTGAATATTGAGAAAACACTGCCTTGAAAACTGAACCATCTACTGAGGGGGTTATTGAGAGCCTTTCATGTTCTATAGTTGACATGACCAAGTTGTTGTCTGGGGGTGCCTCATTTTTAGAATTTACTGACTTCTTGAAACTGGCTGGTATATGTGGTAACTAAATTTGTAAAACATGGGTTTTAGTTTATGGGGTGAAGAGAGGTGTTAATGTTTAACCTCACCCCATCTTAATCATCCCTTGATCAAGTACTTCCATGTATAATATACCTGTGGCTATCTACTGAGGGAGAGTTAGCTGCAGAAATAAATTTTGGGTCTAAGGGTACTCACTTATCAATTTATTAATTCAGGATAATTATAGTAGCCATAGAGATGTATCTCTAGATTCAGGTTATTTTGTGGTGTAATCATATGGCTTCTGACTATTACAGCAACAATTATTTGCATTTTGATGTTTTTTTTTTCTTGCAGCAATTGTGGAAAAGTTGTGCAAGGAGATGAGAAGTACTGCTTAAGATGCCGTTGTGAGTATGAAGCCAGGAACACGACTCTCATCAAGGTATAAATATTAATATGGTTACAGGAGATGTCTGCTTAAACATATTGGTGAACTTGACATTTCTAAGAAAGCTTCCTTATTAAGTGTTAAACCCAGTCAAGCCACTACTTTTTGAGTTTTTGGATACATTTGTCTTGTCCAATTTTTGTCACCTTAATTTAAACTTGATATTCCTTTTCAATGCTGCAAATATTTCCTTCCTTGATTTTTTTACTCTGTTTTCTTCTCCTTCATCAGATCTCTAGACTGCCTAATTTTTTAGCAGTATATAGTGATGTAGCTTGATTTAAATTTATCAGCAAACTCCTTTCTCTGTAGGTTACTCTGATTAGTTTGCCCATGTGTCCTGCTTAGGCTCCAAAACAGTTATTCTAAATACCAAATCACTTTCAGCTAGGTAGTAGCAAACCTTTTCTTAGATACATTCAACTATAAAATTTGTCAAAACATAGTATTTGCTGTA